TAGTATGGAATACTGACGAAGTGCTTTCTAGTATAAAGTAGTTTAGTATAGTATAGCTAGAATGATGTAGAGAAGAGTAGTATGCTATAGATAGCCTAGTATAAGATACTATAGTATAGTATATTATAGTATAGTATATTATAGTATAGTATACTATGATACAATGTAATATAATAGCATAATAGAGTCTAAAACAGTGCAGTATAGTGTGGAACATCAGATAAGAATAAGGCATGTATTCATGAATTATTATGTAGACTACCATATAATGGCGTAGTATAACAGTAGCATAATAGTATACTGTTTTTAAATTATATAGGACTGATATGCACCGGAAGGAAGGTGAAGAGAAGCCACCTTCGATCTCGTCTATATTATGATGAAGTGATCGGATTCGATACTCACTGGAGCCTTATCCAAACTATCAGATGAAGTGAATGGGTTGCTGAGCTTATACAATTATTAGCAAAAGCATAATACAAACAAGCATCTTCATTATACGAGGACCAGGACTTAGCGAGTTGCTCAACTTGAGTGGGGGAACAAGGTCTCGGTGGCCTAGAAAGGAAATAATCCGGTATTTCACATAGTTCACCCATGACTATTTTCCAATTCCTGCTACTGAACCCCTTCAACTCAACGAAACTGTATCGAATCGAATACCGGGTCGATTGGGAGGTGATCTGAATGGATTTGGATCGATGCTGGAGCTTACAACTCTGAAGCTGTGCTCCCAGCTGTTACATTATTTTTGCCCTTAGTTCATGACGGATAGCAAAACGATAAGTCACGTCGATCGTTTGCTTTGTTACTTTTTGATCGTAACAGTTTCCGGTACCTCTAGTCCAAGAAGTAAAGTACTGAGACTGGATATCATCTGAGGAATGCAGCATCGGTCAAATTTCAAACCAGCCAAGTGTGCAGTTGCAGTAATGCTGAATTTTTCTGTGAACTTTCCAGAATTTGCCCTGAGGCTGCCCCGCGGCACAGCTCGTCATCATGACTGTCTTCAATGTTCAAAATAATGACTGCATAGCATGGTGTCTCAGTCATGGCAAAGGGCACATGTACTTTCGTGGAGAAACGTCAGATCACCTCTGGAAAGGCATGAAAAACATAGAAAACATCAGAATCATAGTGCATTCGTTGGCGGATGCTATCATCGTCATCAGCATTGTCCCGAGGGCAAGAGTGTAAACGCCCACGCATCTTGAACATCTGGCCAAAATTAAGGTAAATTCATAAGGTAAAGCTTGAAATTTCTATGATTCCCCTATAGAATTACGGTATGCACTCAACTCAATGACTCTGCAGTCTCGACGCGATTTCGCTGCAACAACGACGATTGGGCGGCTGCAAAGGGGCGGTGCCAAAGGGACTATAAAAGGGGCCAGCTGACGCTCTGACCACGATTTCTGTACAGAATCGTTTGAAGTGCAGCAGATCATGGACGGAAAACGTATTCTCGTAACTGGAGCCTCGTCAGGAATTGGTACGTCTCAGATATTTCTCCCTCTATCTCTTCAATCCTCAAGTTTGGTGCTCCAGCATAAAACCAAAACTCTCTTAGGTCTCTCCCTGACAGAGCAGCTTTGCAAAGATGGCCATCATGTAACGATCACCGTACGAGATCAGGATAAGGCTGATTCTACCCGCAAGATTCTGGCCGAAAAACAGGTGATCACTAATAACTAGTAAAAGAAACTTGAATACAGGAAACAACAATATAAAAAACTCATTTGTGCGCAAAAGTGCTCCTCAGCGTCGTATTGCCTTTTCTGGAATAAGCCATGCATTCACTTTGCAGTCGAATTACTATTGTTACCCTAAAGCGTATTTAGCCAGCACAATAGCTTCCACGTTTTTACCAGGGAAGAGAAAGCTGCAAGATTCGCTCTAGGATTCAAACCCTAAATAATTATTGGAGCTTCCCCTCTTTGGGAGTTTTTCCCTTTTTAATTTAACCTCTATCTCAATCTTGGAATGTCCTATGGAGTTGATCATGTAAAAAAAGAATCCGAGGAGAAACGACAACGTAGACCACTTCCTTTATCCCTAAGCTGCGCCACACTGAGCTGCATTGCACCTTCGACGACCAGGTCTACTAGAGGACACCATCGCCCACACGAGCAAGTGCTTTGACTCTCTTAGACGAATCTAGAACCATCTCAATGGACTAGGAAGAACTTGAAGTTGTGGTGACCTAGGTCTGAATTCGACAGTCCGTACCTTGCAGTAAGTACAGTAACCTACGGCACTTTGTAGTGTAGCGCCTAGTGGGCACAGTAAAGGTTTCTAACCCCTAAAGGATTACGGAAAGGAAAGAACTTCAGATAAATCGAATCCACAGAATCTACTTTCTCCCTTACTTTTCATATAATAACATCCTAGAGAGGAGGGTTCCTGGAGAGGAGGGCTTCCCAGGAGTCCATTCTCCCCATTTCTGACTTTTTCGAGGGAATCACCTGATCACATTTAAAACTTCTTAGGTCATCTCCTTTTTTTATTCCACTTAAAATTCCTTCACGATCAACAATAGAGGTTTTTTTCTCAAAAGTACTCAACGTCCAATGTCGGACAGTTCCATAAACCGCTGTTCGATGCTTTACAGCATTTTCTTATCGAAAAAGTAAGTGCATTTTCGGTGCAGCATAGATTGGTTTTCCACGAAATGATTCAATGTTCACTTTAGAATAGTTTTTTCCATCTTCCCTACACTCAGTTGCACGTGTAAATGTTCCTCCCCAAACCACTTTCCAAAGGGCATTCTTTGACGTGGGGGCAGTTGCATCCAGTCTAGTCACTGAATTTCGATTAAAAGGCATGATGTATACTTTTGAGTGCCTTCCTCTGAAGCCATCCATTTGGACTAGGAGAATAAGATAGGAAAACAAAAACGAACTAACAAACCTCGAAAAATAGTATGACGTTCCATTGCTGTATAGTATTTTGATGGAAAAATATTTTCCTACCGTTTCCTCCAGTTGGAAGATGTTGCAGCTGCTATACATAGGCCCTCGCCACCCTCTTGTCATCCATGGGATCGGATCCTGTTCAATCATCCACGTTTTCCATTTGACCAGAGTCCATTTGAAGGTATAGGCAAAGGGATAGGAGCAATTGCCTGAACATGGCCGATGAAAGCAAAATATTGTGTGGGCTCAAAGCTAATCCAAGTCATCAGCTTCACCTTGATGGAAAAGATAAAAAGTCGGATGCATGGCGCAATTCCAAGTATTATATATTGAAGTTGCTGATTGACTGGACACTTTAACAAACTTTCATCTCAACTGAAGGGGAAAATTTTAATTTAAATTTTAATTTAAGACCCTATAGGAATGTAGTGCCAATTGTTTGAGAAGTATGGTAAACTGACAACAACAATAGTTGACAATTAGCTTTCAGTTTGGTCGAATTGACAGTAATCACATGACTGAATGTTGTAAATAAATATTGAAAAGAAGGTCAACAGTATGGTAAATAGATAGTTAGCTCCCGTGGGCATAAAAGTTGGAAAAACGCAAATGCAATTAGCGTGTTTTCCAGAGGTAAACAGTATAAAGCCTACTTTTTGAGTAGAAGATTCATAAAAATTTAGAACGCTGCGTTTCAGATTACTGTCGATATTATCCAGATCGACTTCTCTATTTGGTCATCCGTTGTGGCTGGTGTTAATGAGATTGTTCAGAATAAATCGTAAGTTCCTACGTACTTTACCCGTAGGTTTCCAAGAACCTTATGACAAGAAGTGTTCTCGAATAAATNNCGTTTCAGATTACTGTCGATATTATCCAGATCGACTTCTCTATTTGGTCATCAGTTGTGGCTGGTGTTAATGAGATTGTTCAGAACAAATCGTAAGCACCTATTTCACCCATAGGTTTCCAATTATGGCAAAAAGTGTTTTCGAAAAAATTGATGGTCGATCGTTTAGGATTTTTGATATCGTGATCTTCAATGCTGGAACGATGTTCCCTGATGAGTCATCGACGGCAGATGGTGTTGAGACATGCTTCCAGGTGAGAAATCTTACTGTTCGGTTTCGCCCTATCCCGCCCAACCCCCTTCCCGAACGCAAAAATTGGGGAAAAGGCTTTATATGAACATTGGGAAAAAGAGCGGTATCAAAGAGAAAACAAACAAAGAAAAAAATGTGGATGAACCATCAAGGAGTGCCGAAAGAAAGTGCTATTGACATTTTCCGGTAGTTCTGGCATACATCTATCATCGTGAGCTGCAGGAAGTGAAAATAAAGTAGCCTGACATGGGTGTTTCTGAGGGAAGCCAACTTTTTGTCTCAACATACCGATTGCAGAGGCGTTTGAATGCTCCTGAGTTATACACAGTTTCTAATCCTTACCAGTAAAAGCTACCTCGAGGGTTTTGATTTCTAGGATACCCAAGTACCCGATATGATAGCGTGAGTAGGCGGCAAGGTACCGTAACGAATGAAATAGAATAAATAATTACGAATAACTCATGGCTTATTCTGCCACTCCCCACAGTCAGCCATTGAACTCACAGACTCTTCATTGAATTCAAAGACAAGGCCTTCCTGACAGTTGTACCGTTTGGATGCGCCATGCACCCGGNACATTCCGACCCTCGTTTCGCCATCTTACATTGACAACCCAGTTTAATGACTATTTTTCAAGCCTACTAGACTAAAGAATTACTAGATCTAATTTGTACGAATAATTAGACCCATTCTTATGCAAATCACAAAAACAAGTCAATTACAATTTATTTACCATACCGTCTAAAAGGACAAAACATAAATTACCTATTTAACTTGAGGAAATGGAAGTGACTGTGGTAAATATTTTCATAAAAACTGGAAGTCAAAGCAGTACAGCCCCGTGAATTCCCACGGATCCGCTTTATTCCTAACTTGAATGTCTCGAACACTCTGAAAACTGTAGACTGGAACTTCGTTCAAAAGGAGACTTCTGAACAGCCCCATATGGTTTCAAACATAATTTTCAATTAAAAGACGATAAGGTGGTACAAAAGGTTCGAATTATAAGCTCACAAAAATTTCGGTTTTTCAGGTTAACGTACTTGGTCACATGTATCTGGCCGATGTGCTAATCAAATGCCGTCCAGCTAAGCATCAAATGCATTTCGTCTGCGTATCATCGGCTCTATTCAAGTGAGTCACCCAAGCAGCTAATTGTGTAAACAAATCCCGTAAATAGTAATTACTTATGGGAAATGGCTTGTTGACTATGGATATGCCAAGAATTATGATATGCTAACCGTCAACAACTTCTGCAACTTGCAGGCTCTGTGGTGCGTCATGGCCTCGTTGGCGTGTGCCAAAGGAAGCCGATGAATGGGTTGAAGCGTTTCGTCCACGAACGCGATCAGGATGGAGAGCTTATGCTCTCAGCAAATTTGCCATCACGCTGTTAGCATCACGTCTGAATCGTGTTGATGGCGTCACAGCTGTGGCTGTTAATCCAGGAAATGCCATCACCAATGTCTCCCGAAATATGCCCAATCGTCATCGGCGATTGCTCACCGTGTTCAAGAAGACGCTCATTAGTGTGGTACGTTCTCGACCTTTTCAAAAATCCTCTCCGTTTCCAGCCCGCATGGCTCCCATACGATTTCGTTCCAGCTACATACTGAATCACCGAGCCATCGCAGGGAGTGCCAATATAAGGGGTCAGAACGGGCTATATAGGTAGAACCCAAAGACCTCTCCCCTTCCCCCACCCCTCCCCCCTACTGACAAGCTTGGCACCATTTGGAATCCCCTAGAGATTGTAGTAGACCAGTTCGATCAGATCCAGCAACCATGACACAGAGGGCAGCTTTTCTAGCGATTACAACACCAATTATGAGTACATTAAGAGGGATTTCTTTGCATCAACCAATCCCATGCTCGGGGACACGCCCTGCATTCGATTCCCATCCAAAATCTTAGAGGCGGATTGAATGAGTATATGGCCAACCAAAGTATAAGCCAATCCTTTGAACCTCCCAGACAAGTTTGCTAGCCTTTAACCGATCCCAGAGAGACACAAAGCAACAATTTCACGGATAATCAACAAAGTCGGTAATTTTTCAGGAAGAAGCAGCCGCCAATGTGGTCCGTGCCTGTCTTCATCCTCTGCCACACGGGAAGTTCTACGACCAGGCGAAAAAGTCTTCTCTTCCGAAGGCGTTGACATCGGAACGATTCATGCACAACCTTAACCACCTTTCCCAACAGCTAGTCCTTAGCATTACCGAGCCTTAGATGGCTACAGTAGTACAACGTAGATGTTATTGTAGATTACTGTAGATAGATCACTGCTTTAAGAGGTTTCTCACAGTCGGGTGGTGTGTTTTGTATGCACGCCAAATATTCAGCAATACGTTCTTCAAAAGTCGCTAAATTCGCTGATCTCTCCATGTACTAGTTTTCGATATTTATACTGTCGATAAAAAGTGAATAAACTTTGCTATAGTTGCTGAATTCGCTCTCTGCAGTAAGCCAAGCATACGCGCACCGCACATAATTGTACAATTGATTGAAAGGCCTTTAATCTGATTTCTGAGAAAGAAGAATGAATGAAGAAATGTCAATCGAACCAAGCTATGCGCCATGCGCCTGACTTTTGCGCAAAATGGCAGGCACCTTAAATGCCCACTCGGAAGGGACACGGAGTTGAAGTTAAGCATCAATTCACTTCCTATTGAAGCTACTCCGTGAAAACCTACCCATGCGAAGGATAGAGAGTCTGCCATCCTTAGCCTAGTCGGATCTCACCGGCTACGCTAGCCAATAACACCTTCAGATAGTGCGCTTTTGGAGAGAGAGCACTGGCTGAAAGTGAAGAAGGTGTAGTGCCAAGAGGTGCGCTGTCAAACTTATATCGACCTACGATCGCATTCCGGGTCAATACTCGTGTGGGCTAACTAAGCCGTCGATCTTCAAGGGTTGGTTTATTGGCACTAGGCTCGCCTAAGAGGTAAAATACATCGTATCGCCACCGCAAGGGATCGGATAGACCACATAAGCATTCAAAACGCTACTACGATTCTGAATAGAAGTTGATTGCGGGGCGCATTCCACAAATGGAATCAATTAAACCAAAGACTTCATCCTTCACCCTTTTCCTGTGTCCTCTATGTCCTTTATCCTGATAAGATACCAAAACTGTTCCCTTCATAAAATATAAATGAATGAGAGAGAAAAGGTCCCAACAGAGTTTGAAACGAAGCCCAACGACATTTTCGCAAAAACTCATAAAAATGGTAAACCACTGGATGACGAAGGGACAGTGGAAGAATGGAGCTCACCTTTGGAACAAATAGAATAACAAGTAACGCAGAAGTGAAGATCAACAGTATAGGAGATCGGCAGTAACCTTTGTGAGTGGAAGGGCAGGTGAAAGCGGCACTTTGATATCCATTGACTCCTTGATCAATCGGCTGGAAAAGAGTGAAGTAAATATCAGATCGCATCTTATAAGAATAAATAAGAAAGTCCAAAAAATCGTTCACCACTCAGCAATTCTTCTCAGGGGAGTGCGAGTAGTACCACCCTTAATAAGAAAAGCATACCCAGTAGGGGTAGGGCTGTGTAGGACAGGCCGAAGTTGTGCGTTCTGACAACTGTTGTTGTGAACCAGTGATCCAGAGATGTAATAAAATGATAAGCTCTGAACATCATAATTTCGATCCCCCCAGATATCTTCGAAAGGTTCCATGCTTCCGGAGTCCGTCTAGGACCAGCAGCCTTCCTGATTAGCCCTGCGTCCGAGGAAATGCCAAAATGCCCCGTTTCCTTTTGTACAAAAGGGCATCACTACAAATGTGTAATTCTACTCTCCCAAAAATGGTCCCTGTAGATCAAGCACAAATGATCGTATGCTACCTGCCCATTTGAGATAAGCAAGAGAACCGTGAGTGTGGAGCCTTCAAAGGAGCTTTTCATATAAACACTCGTGACATTTTTTTGGAAATAAAGAACCTATGAATGAATTTTGGGTCTCGCCCTCTCGTGAAAAGATACTTGCAACCTTATTCCCGGGAATACTTTCTAAGACATTGTGCTAAAAGTAATGCTAGAAATACCTTTTAATAATCCAGATTCTTCTCGAGTTATTCTGGAAGCATCCATAGAAACACTCAGAAGGCCCCTAATCACTTCCATGCACAATATATCAAGCCGCTGAGGATAGGCTTCAAGGCCAAATGCTTGACACGGGTTTCAAAGGGTTTCAGAGGCGGAGTGGCCGACTTTGGACTGTTAAGGGTCTAGGGGTTGAGTACGGATAGATGGTTCAGCCATTATAGCGTTGAACAAGCAAGGAACAGGTAGTCGGATATGCTATGCGTAACGTGGTTAGGGCCCTTACATAGAAACCCTATGAAAGCTCCCAGAAATCACCAGAAGAAACCTGGACTACTGCAAATTTCTTGGCAGACTTTCCGCACAACCTAGTACATCGTTTCTGCGCTGCTCTTGTTTTTGCAAAAACACCCACGCTAACAAGTATCCTATTAATCTGTATTTGCATGGATTCCATAGATTTTTCTTTCATTTCCTGATTGATATTGGCAGTTAGTAAAACCCTGCACTAGCTGTTTACAAGTAGTGTGGGTGAAGCTGATTACTTCGTCCCAGTTCAATACCCTTACCCACGCAAGGGCATAAAGCTGGTAATAGGGTAAAATAAAATGAAAAACATGGATTTAGTAATGTTTTGAAAGGCTACGAATCAAGGACGGGATAAGGGCGTTTAAGAATAGAGTATATCCAGGAGACACAGCCATCTTTGATCATAAGAGAGATTGGCCGAACTGAAGGTGAACTAATAACAATTAGCTGGACGAAAAACAGCTTAGGAGTCTGAACTATAAAGAGACATGGGCCGAGGTATCACCACCATCGGATATACTTTAAATCCAGTAGTTGAAGAGAAAAAAATAGAAAAAGGTGAGAAAAGTTGTAAGCTGAAATTGAAATATCCGAAGAAAGAAAAGGATATAAGAGAAAAGTCTTCGGGCGTTCAACAATCTCGTCTGAGGGATGCGCCCATGCCTTCGACCTCCATTCAGAATCGTAGTGGCTATTGAATGCGTATGTGGCCTATTCAATCGATTGCGGTGGCCAGCCGTTGTACAAGACAGTGCTTTCACCCTCCCAGACGAGTCTCGTCCAATTAGCCGGCCCCGGAGGAATGGATGGTTTGGTGGCTTGGGCGAACACCGATTCGGGGCTGAAACTCGTGGCGATGCGTGGGTGGTAGCGCGCCACTCGCCAATACATTACCTGTAGAAGGGTTACCACTGGTCAATCCTCCTTCAGGACTGCGCCATACATTCGGATTTTAGATAGATGAGACAGAATGGCAGGTGGATGCTTACTGGAAAACAGGATAATTTGTAGGGCCAGTTAAAGAACGGCAGAGGTTTTTTTCTTCCATGGGAATTTTTCAATTGGAAACATAAGAATTCAAGGGATGAGGCCTCCTGAACTAGATCGGATTCAACCCCAGATTTGACCTTTTGGCCTCTGTGGGGTACTGAGGCTTCTCACTGCTACCCTTCCCACACTGTACGTTGAGATAAGTCATGGGTTCAGAACCGGCCTAACACGGGATAAATACCGAATATATACAAGTTCCCATACAGGTCACATCTAGCCCAAAATGTTTCAAATGTGGGAAATTCACTATCTCGCAGCAGCTGAACTCATGTCCAACTTATTTCTGATCTCTATTCAAATAGCCGTTCACAAATCCATCTTGGATTATTCAATTCTCTAATTATCAAAATTAATAAATAATATATATGATAGTAAATAATAATAATAATTAATTGAAATTTTATTATAGATTAATTTCTTAATCAAATTAAATTAAAATAAACTAATCTATCTTATCGTTTAGTTGATTTATTTTATTTCATCTTATACCGCTCATTGAAATCCTTAATCATCAATCTTCAAGTCAAAAATTTGTAAACACATGAGCCACCTTAACCTTGTCAGTGATGGCTTGAACCCCTTCATCAAGTTGTAAAAAACATTCCAGTTGGAAAAGCTGATATAATGCATCCTTCCTAGTCTGTTAGGAGACTCAGAGGAGCTCTGCTCAATTCATTCTCCCTGGACTATTGTTTCTGAAGTACCATTGTCAAAACAAAAACTAAAATCCCAGTAATTTTGAGAAAGCTCCGTCAATTCATTGCCTTCACCCGCGTGCCCTTCTGCCCTTCTGCCCAGTTCCCCCTACAGAAGCACGACCACTACGAAGTCTAAGGCAAAACCCTGACTTATATAGAATTCAGTCGTGGACAGGACCAATAATGTAACCCGACTGGCCGAAGACCAGCCCGAGGAAAAAATATTCATGAAGCTTTGAGTGCTTGGTCAGTTCAAAGATGATCACCATGGTGAGCATACGTACTGGCAGCACTGGCAGACAAAGAGAGCTCCTACGCAAATATTCCGCTGAAAACCAATTGGAATGCTAGGGCGAGTTGTCCATGCATTCTATGGTAGAACAGCGATTAAAAGATCCAATATCCACACTATTCAAGATCACTCTTTTATAGCGAAAACAAATAAAGAAATATCCATTCACCATCACCGAAGTCGTAGGAAAAAGATAAACAGGGAGAGATGATCAATAGATTAAAAGGACAACTAACTAGACGACTACTTAAATAAATAACTCTACTGCAATTCAGTTTTGCTTTTCAGGATGAGCTTCAGGAACGATTTTTGGTTGGGAAGCTTTTCCTTTGAAAATTTAACAAACATTTGGAGTATCGGTAGAAATTAGGGCACCTTCTTGTCAATTTTTTCTAAAAGCTCACCCAGAAAAACAAAACTTTGCAAATGGCAATGTGACAGATCAAAAGATTACATGACTCTCAATAAATCACAGTATTCTAGCTACCACTGAGAAAAAACCGTAAGACAACGGAAAAGCCGGAAGAGCAAAACATAAAGAAAACAGCTAATAGGGGAAAGGCGTTCAACTTAGCACCATCTGTTTTAGGCTCTCAATTTCCGATGACAGCATGTCCTTAGCCACCTCATCAGTCTTGTTCTTCAAGCACTGTACGACCAGTCGTTGAGCGGACACCAATAGATCGTATAGAGGCTGAAATAAAATCACCTCCCGTACTTCAGAATGGGTAATGATTGCACGAAAAATCTATACACAGGATCTATTCGTGCGTAAATTGGGAGTAAAGTAAAGTAAACTAAAGGATGTATCCCTCATCAATTGATAACGACCGAATTCCGTCCGGTTAGGGTCTTACCCAGCCCATTCTTCCGGCTCTTAAATTTATCCTACAGCTGATTCACACATCTGGAAGCGGCTCTATCTCAAATCCGACGACAGCATAGAATTTTCAATTTGAATACCAAAATCAGGATTTCTACAAGGTTCATCATGCCTCTCAATTCTGACACATTAGAGTTCAAATGAGGCACCGACAGACGGAATACTCTCTGCTATTCGGCTGCAGGCTACCCACCTAAGGTAATCAAATTATTCTCTGAGAAATATACCTGCTCCACAGATCCGTTTAACTGTGGTGTCAACTGAGCAACAAATCGCCCACTTGCAGTTACTGGTTTTCCATGCTTTGCCAATAGGTAGAGAACACAAGACAGCAATACTGCAGCCGGTTCGGTCTGGGCCATCACCTGTTCCTTCAGTTCAGCAACATAGCTTTCTAGCACTTCAGCTCTATTTAAATAAATTTTTTAAATTCGTAAAATGAGCATTCTGAAGAAACACCGAAGTACTCACATACCTAGTTTTCGAATCAGGCTGCTTCAGTGCAATTGAGAGTGTAGTAGGTGATGAGAGATCGAAAACGGCTGAATGGAACGCATCGAGGTCTTCACCTCGTAAAGAGGTATAAAGGGCGTTCATGGTGTCACGCAAAGCCGTTGGTAATGAAGAAATTGTATCTTCTCGTTGCTGCAACACATGTCACATCAATAAAAAAAGGCAAAATAAATAAGACTAATTTACTTCAACTATAGCCAGTGCCAATCGCAATGCTTCTCCCAGCCAGTGAAGGTTTACAAACGGAGTTTATAATACTTACCTACCATTTCTGGGTGAATAACAGACAGCATTCCGTCTCACAGTGAACAACAAACCTTCTCTTTCAGTTGGCCTGCATTTTCTGTCCCTGAGGCGCACGAGAGAACCGCATTGGCTAGATCCGTGCCCATTGTACGGAGCAAATACTGGCGAAGTTCATCACGAAGTGAGTCTAAATTGAATAAAAATATAGAATAAAGTGGCTAGTAGAGCTCATCAATGCTGCGCACTTCTCCCGCAAAACACTGAAACACAGGCTTGTGTACTCTTCCTTAGAGTAGCATATCATTTCTTATCAAACACCGAGTGTAACGCTACACCCTGCAGAGAATCCTTCAGACACGAACTCCTCAGTTTGAGCTCGGCCCCAGTAACACGACAGAAAAAACTTAGGCCGGAAACCTACCAGGAAATGATGAGCTTGCTGACTCGAACATACATATGGAAGAATAGAGCCCTTGAGCTTTTTGTTGGAGTTGTGCCAGACTCTTCTTTTGCGATTGCGCAGCTGCATTCTGTTGAGCTGCAGCTATTTCAGTGAGGCGTGCACGGATTTTGTCATCGACCTGAGTTTGAATCAATTACATGAAAAAAGACCACCGCTAAATTTTCTTGTATTCTACCTGGGGAGCGACTCGCTCCACTACATCCGTCACGATATCTTCAGGTACTACCTCAATTCCAAGAATCCATTCTTCAAGGGTCTGAAATATATAGCAGAAAGTTTCACAAAGCAATTCTATATATTTGCTAGGAAATGATAACAAAAGCCAATAAAAGTCGTATCCAGACCTCTGGCGGAACGCCTATAGACGTGGCAGATGGCTCTTCTCGAGAGGCTGCAGCAGATTTTGCTCCTTTTCCTCCACCACCACCTCGACCGCCTTTCTTCTTTCCTCCACCTTTTTTCGAGTCTCCCCAGTCATTATCCACCTATAAAAACAGCTATCACCATAAACGAAGGGCAGATAACCGGGTTCAAGCACACGGGTTTGTAAATTCATCAAAAAACTATTGATCCAGCTACAGCGAGTAGTATTTTTTCCTGCCATCGATCGCAACTCACCTCGACAACTTTCTTCTGCTGCTGAGGAGCTTTTCGTTCTTGTTCGATACGACCCATCTAAATACTTTTTCAGTAATATTCATTAATTCTATATTTATCATCGTTTAACCTCCGCTACCATGAGGTCAGTGTCTGGCGGCAGCTCATTTCAAGGTGTCGCTGGCACAGAAGAAGGTCAAATATCCCACCAGTCATAATATCATCAAGCTTCACTACAAGTACAAGCTACAATTCGAACTACACTTACACGTACCAGTTCATGTGCCCATGCATCAATACGGCCGTTTAGCCTTTCAACAGCCTTAGACAGCATCCGATCTGAGAAGACGTACGTTCCGGCACTGTGCAGATCACCTTCCGTAGATGCCACCTGCTCCGAAATTGTTATCAAATCCGCATCATCGAAGGGTATAGCCAAAGACTGCAACGCTGACTGGACTTCGCAAATGTCCGACTCCCGTACAGCTTCTAAAAAATGACGACTATATTGAAGTGAAAATGGCGGCACAGGGATACGAGCGGTCGCGAGGCGGCCGAAACAGGCATTATATCGAAGTAGAAACCTTTCAGAGATTGGTAGAGATTATTCTAAGGAAAGGATTGTCAATGAAACGAGACGAAAGCACACGGATCAAAAGCTTCACTGCGTTACGCGACCAGCCATGCAAGCAGTCTATTCACTGCTCGATCATCAAAATTACAGAAATTGTGGTATTCTAGACAGTACCTTTTACTGCCGTGAAACACTGCTGAAGTAAGGCCTTTGAAAGCAGAATGGAAGATAGCGTCTGGATTTGCACTTCGTTATTGTCCTGCTTTAAAATCTGTTCGATTTGTCCATTCTTTCCACCGATTCCACCTTCGCTGAGACCGAGCTTTTTCAATGCAGATGTCTCTGAACAAAGTGCATTCCGAACCCATTTGGATCGGTCCAGTAACAATCGTAATAATAAGACTACAAAGGTAAAGTAACTGTGGTGAACTCACGGATAAACTCCTGTTGACGGAAAGTATTCTGCACATACACTCGGACCAATTGGTCATGAATATGAGGTACATAGTTACAGCTGGGTGACGATCGAGACCCGGACAACCTTCCAGGAACCTGAAGTTCGGACAACTGAGTGACTGAAGTTTTTGATCCAATTGGATTAGGCAAAAGCTCGAACCTCGCCTTCTGCTAAAAGAGCGTCGAAAGCACACCAGAATCGATTAGTGGGTAATCCGACTCGTCCTTGTATTGCGCTTATGGCAACAGGCCTTTAACGCTTTAAAATTACTTGGAAGAAGGAAATCTATAGAACAAAACGGACTTACTTGGTAATAGCCGAAAGTAATGCTCTCAATAAGTTTTTATGTGCCTCCAAGTATTCTTGCGTGAAAATGGTGTCACCTTCGAGAACTCCACTGAAGTCAGTTGGGAGGTGATCGAGCAACAAAGACCGCAGCAATTCCTAAGTGGCTTTTGGTAGGGTTCTTGCTAATAGCTTTTATTTCAATCGCAGTTTCGGCAGTTTTCCTCGAAAACTTATCTTTCACAGAACTAAAATACCTGTGACAGATTCCAGTGTTTACACAGCGACGACAAAGTTTGGTAACCATGTTCTGCGAGAAGAGTTCGGAGTTCATTTTGCAAATTGGTGACATACTCCCTGAAATAATTTCCGTACTCATCAACCTTGTCAATAAGGTGGACGTTTTGTGGTAGTAGTCACAAGCAGCCACAGGGACAAGTCACATAATCAAACATGCATGGTCAGGGGATTCAATTCTAGTCGATACTCCCTCAAGACCTGTCCCTCTCACTTTTGTCATTATGGATTCGGTTAATAGGTATCAAATTCGTCCAGGAGGATAAAGGCTCTGATTTGTGCATCGGCTGGTCACCGCAATTCATTGTATAGGCCATACACGCATTCAAAAATACCACCATTTATAGAAGTCCAGGACACTTCAAATGGTTTGATTAAAGCCAACAGAGCTTTCTTCTCATTCAATCTATTCTCAAATGAATTGGTTGAAGCCCATGAATTCCCCCTTATCTGATCTCTCTCACTTTCCATAAGAATATGACTCCAAAATGGAGACAGGACCGGACGACCCGCTCTTATTCCAACTCTGACCACAAAAAAGAACTATGGCTCAACGACGAGCAGTAGGAACATAGAATATTCCTTCATTGTCATCTTTTTCGTTCCAAGCAGCAGATAATCATGAAACAGCGTCAGACGCAATCTTTAAAAAAATTTTACTCACTCGGCAAATAGCTCGCCTCCAGAAATCTTGAACTCAGTGTTTTCTGCAGCAAGTTGATGAGCGATACGTTCTACATGCTCAAGATCAACATTCAATGAGGTGGCTATATCGGTAAGAGGGGCCCTTCCACCCAAGGCCACGCATTCATTTCGCACCTAAAAACTGAGCATAGGACTCAAATAGTTTATCTTACTCAACCCCACCCCATAACTAAGAAAAACATTGAACAGAGAGGATCAGGAACAAACCTCAGTGGCTAGATGTTTCTTAGTAATGTATGAATGTCCATCTCTTGTGAACACAACATCGATCAACGATCTTTGAATGAGTTTCGACACCACCTCCACACAGTTTGCTTCTGATAGCCTAAAAACATATGCATTAAATTACCCTGAGCTTGACGTTGAAATTCCAGGGACTCTAAGGAATCTATGCATAAAAGTATCACTCTTCGAGAGTATCAGAACGGAGACAGATCTGCGCACTATCCTGCAATTAAAAAACGTCGACCAAAATATTCATAGCCATAAGAAAATCTTCCGTCCAATTTCGCCATCAATACGTTCCATGGTCAGTCGCGAATCATTCCATAACTATTATAATACAACATAACCTCAATTTTCAGTAACTTTAACAACTTCAAGATATGGTACCCTACCCTACTCAAAAGTACCTACAACATTAACACGTACCAATCTACAACTAACGATCTCACCTTACTTATTGAATAGAGCATCTTTGCCCTCTTTCATTTACGGTAAAAAAAAANAAAAAAAAACATACTGTTGCTTTATCCACCCAAGCATTCCGATAAGACCTACCCCTCAAGCAGGAGCGCAGAAGGCATTGCAACAAAACAGTAAATATTGGTCATTAAAGAATGATATCCTGCTCAAAAAGATACCACTGTTATGATAAAACGTAAAGCATGACAGTACACAAACTTCCTAGACCTAAGAATTAGGGTAACCCACTCGGAAGTGAATGAAAAGCTTCCAAATTGCTGAAAAAAAAGCTCTCCAAGAACGATTAACAGTGAGTAACAGGTTACCGCAGGAAAATACTAACTTTTTAGACGACTGTGAAAGTTGCACCCTCTGCAAATCGGAGACAAGGCGCTGGATATCTGCCCATGTAGCGGCCATTCTGACCTATTTATGAAAAGAAAAGCCTTGCAGTAAATGCTGGTATCTTTTCTTCACAATGAAGCATTTCCATGGACTGACTGCGACCATTTCAAAATAGAAAATTGAAGCAAAATCAATTTATGCGAAAGTTTATATGGAAAATAACATCGAATATTACCGTCATTAATAATTAAATTTAATAATATATACGATTCTTTTCATAGTATCACAGAAAATTACCAATAATCACAGAAAAAAAATAAATTTATAATTAATGTCGATACAAGGCATTGACCGGTACAATATGCCTACGATAACCAATAAGAGGAAAAGTCGCAGCTATGAAAGAGCGGATGGGTCCGAAGTGGGAGGATCTGGTTCCGAAATGCTCGGTTTTGCTTCTTGATCTGGTGCGAACGATTTTGTTTCCGAGTTCAATGTGTTTGGAGCCGCTTCCGGCATAGTTTCTGCAAAAAAAAAANAAAAAAAAAACAGAATAAAAAATATAATTCCGCAAAAGCGCTTATGAGATAGTTACAACTTTATATTGATAAACAAAGGCTCGAGAATAATCCGAATGGAATCAAAGCTCACCCGTACTCGGCACCTCTACTGTTTCTGAAGGTACAGGAGTCGTTTCCTTCGTACCACCATTTGTACTCGCTTCTAAAGCCTCAGGTCTCGACCGCTGTATCAATTTCGACATCCCTTCTACTACAACGTCCAGTTCTGATCCCCTTGCCTCGCAAAATGACAAGTCTCGATAGATCTGCGTAAAACAACACATGCACATAAGTATTAACCACAGTGAGCAAAAATAAAGAAAAATACTGAAAAAATAGAAAAATGAGGAACAGCATGAGAGTGCGATAATATCGGGTGACCAAAAAAGTTCGTGCAGTTTTGCAAGTGGATAAATAAATATACAAAAAACGGCCTAACTAAAGTCCGATCTGAAAAATGGTTTCCTTCGGCAAGAATGACTATCTCCCATCGTGAAACAAGCTGGTATACTCCACTTTGGTAAAAGTCTCGAGTTTTGGAGCTAAACATCGATTTCACTCCCTTTCAAGCTCTTCTCAGGAGAAAAACAGGAGATAGTCGCTTGGGGCAAGACCTGGTGAATATGGAAGGCGAAGCAGAATCTCCCATCGTAAACGTGCTAGAGTTTCCCGCGTGGTTCTTAGACTGTTTTCATAGTCCACGATTTGGCCCGCGACCGCTCGCTGGCCAAATTGTGGACTATGAAACTTATAGCGCACTACTTAAATTTATGAGATACACTGAATGACTCTGCATGAATCGAGCATCAAAGAATATGCAATATTCCCTCCTACCATAATCAGTTTTGTAAATACATTACATAGAAATAATAAATTAGAAAAAACAGCACAAACTTTTTTGGTTGCCTACTACTGTGACGCCACTCCACGCCACTTTACAGAACATAAAAAAGCTTTATGTTTGCCCTGTACAATCAAAAGAACAAAGTGTGAAAACTGAGAAAAAGGCCCGTGGAGGAGTGCTCTCGCTCAATACCACTACTACTAACCTGGGTTCGGATTTTATCATCATCTGACGTCCCATCGAGGGTCCCTGCTTTACGCTTAAACCGCGACAAGCTTGAACCGGTGGCATCAACGCTATCAAGTACCTGATAATCACACGTCTGATTACTTGAATATTATTTTTAGAAAAAAACTCTGCATCATCATCATACCTCTCCCGCTTTAGAGACGAGCCGGATATAGGCCGCCATCAAAGCAGAACGACCCAATTGTTCAGCCTTGGGATGATTTCTTTTGGACAATTCACCCACAAAGTCATCGAACTTCGAGTGGGCAGCAGTTATGTACGACGAATGAGTGGAAGGTGATGGCTTCTTAGTCCATCTGTACTGCTTCGGGACATCGGATACACTGTCAAACTCCTTAAACATGAACATGTACAACAAAGGAACTATTTTAGAAAAAGACATATAGCAAAAGGATGAAAACCTTGGACAATGAAGAGGAGACCAGTTTGACCACATGATCATCTATCTTAGCACATTCTGCATCGACGAGAAGATTAAATCGAGTTAAACACTGACCGAAAAGCGTTGTATCAACATCTAAGTCCCTGCAATATTGAGCCATCGACTACCTTGAGATACATTATTTACAGTCGCGAGGCTACTCACCTGAGTTTCGGCCATAAAGTCTCTAGTGACAAGTCGAAGACCTTTGACGCTACAGTGGAAAGATCATGTCGGACGGCGAGAAGGGCACGCCATGCCTCTACTCCACCAAGTTCAGCGGTCGGATCCGTCGTAGCGGCTCTGAAAAACACTCTCCCTGGGTTCAAATAACAGTTACAACTAATTCAGATAATTTCCAATTGGATTCAGTCGCATTTCTATCCCTACTAGGAAAAAAAACTTACTGAATAAGCGTTCTTGCCCAGGCTAGATGTTTTCCGAGCAGTCTCAGCGTAAAATCCCATAACTTATCAGCGATAGGATAAAGGAACACGTCGTCTCCCCAGACCGTATCGACAGTTCGTAGAATCGTTGAAGAGACATCACATAGTACTTCTCCTTCTAACAGCTTAATAAAGTATGGTAGATTTAATGAAGCCAAATCGCATTAAATGTAAAGATGTGCTCGGAACGAAGAGAACTGTTACCTGGCTAAACGAAAAATAAAATAACAAAGATTCTAACCTCATCACCCGAGGCGATTTTCAACGCTTCTGGAGCCATCTCATTCTCTATTTGACGAACGGCTTTGTGAGTGACCAATTTGAAGTACACGATCAAATTGAACTTGTCTCGGATCGACTTCAACAATGTCCTTCAAAAGCTTTGAGTAATAAACTAGTTAAGGAAATTGGCCAGAGTTTAGTGGGTAACCTCGAGTGTGGATGATGTGGCCAGTTTTCGACAAACTCTTGTGTTGCCGTGAAGCAACGATGGAACATCGACGTGTTCGTAGGAACCGCTACCGTACCCATGCACTAGAAAACAAAACTTATTAGAAAATTCTTGCGTACAAAACAACCGCTTCGTTATTTCAGCGAAACTACCTTGTCGATGAAGGTAAGCAGAAATGTGAGAAGAGTCTGCTCAAGGAAAGCCTGTACTTGCCCGGTATATTTCGGACCAAGGATTTCGTTCCAATTTGTACGCATCTGGATGAAAAGTGAAATAGAAAATTACAGACGCTTGGTTAGTCGGGAGAACTGATTGAACAGCAGTCGGATTGATCAACCAGAAGCTCACCTTATTGACGCCTTTGAGAACATCCTTCAGCATTTCATAATGATCTTTAGCAGGCTGAACCAGCTTCGGGTAAATCGAGTCTGACACGAGTCGGGCAGTAAGGGAGTGAGAGCAATCCGCTAATGATAACAACGACAGAACGTGTGGTAATGAGGCACAATCTCCACTGGCGCTTCGTACGCCTTCGTCACACAAAATTGTTTCCAGTCGTGTAAGCAGCTGAACAGAGCAAAACGTTGTTGCGAAATGAGTAATAAGAAGTAGAGAAGATTGAGTTAGAGACCCTATTTTCGCCAGATATTACCTTGAAACCCCAGAGGCGCATCACATTACGATTATTTTTTCAATTTACAGGGAGATGCGTAACTACAGTGACGACGAAATGTGTAAAGTTTTAAGAATTTTTTTCCCGGTTGGATTCGTTTACTTATGTACACAATGGTTTTGTCATATTCAATACCGCCGGAAGGTTTGCTTTCTTTTTCAGTAATAAAGTCATGATGAGCCGCAAGCCCAACATCCGTGAGCTCATGTACGCCTATTCACTACGTAAGTGTTTTTCGGTTAGCCATGAAGAGGATAAATAAAAAATTGCTACAACCAAAAAGTGGAAAGCAGAAAAATTGCCTTCTAATGTGCTGCATCCTCTACAATCATGAAACCCTATGAAGGCATATGATACAAAAAATGAACAAAACAAACAAATACAAAGTAATCAAGGGATAACGAAATCAAAAAGGAGCTACCTTGTTGAGCATCTTGCTTTCCCTGCTATCCTCCACAAGATTTTCTTTATAAGAGCTAGCATCAACTAAACACGATGATACTTTCTCCAACCTAAACAATCTAACATCAAGCAGTAATAAATTAGTGTAGTTGGATAGCATGATAAACGAAAAAGACATATTGGCAACACGTACCACAGAGCACCAACTGATTCGGGCACATTATGGATAAGACTGGAAAGTCGTTGAAGAGCAGACAAGAACGATATTCGATGACGAATCTCGACCTACAAAGCAGATTTGAACGAAATTTATTTTTGAACTTTAAAACTATCGAGTTCCCAATAAAATGTGTAGTAGCCTAGCATTTGGTTGAAGGTAGCTCTGCATAAGGTCATATAACAACATTCTTCCGAAATGGCAAACAGGTGGGGGAACTTTCTCTTTCTCACGTATATGAAGCACCCCTGACCCATAGAGCGGTGGATAAAATAAACAAACTGCGAAAACCAACCTGCGATGCTCGATTCTGTGAGAGTTCCACGCAAAATGATTCGACACGTTCAGCCGTGCGAACGGAATCACTGGTGCTGCTTTCGAAATCTGACCATATAGTCTGGAATCAGGATGAATTTAACAGGTACTTCATAATATGCCTAGCCTAACTACAGAACAAATCCTATTAATATGAGGCTTCTTGAAAACGTCGTATTCTCGGAAGTTCCGCAGTGCATGATTCTTTACAATTTAGAAACCCTACTTCAGTCATGCCATAGAGAATCAATAATGATTGGAAAGCAGCTTCCTTGCAGGTACATAAGTGACCTAATCCCATGTTTGAGGATTCTTTTACTAGAATTTCATTCCAAAAGTCACTATCAAGTTCTTCGACCCTGGACTTGGTCACGTATAATAAAACCCATAACGACACACCGCTCATTTAGATCGTTCTAACTGTGATATTATTCGTTTGAGTTGTAAGATGTAAGCAATATTACTTTAATCTGGAAAAACAATTAAATGCATGTTTCAGTCTCTATCTGAGCACTTACGTTCATATCGCTTTCAATTTTGTCAATTGTGCTCTGCAAGCTAACAAGATTAGAAGATAAGTGAACGAAATCGGCATAGTCATCATTGATCAACTCGATCATCGAATGTTGAACACTCTTCAAATACACCCGAAGATCTTGCTGTATTTGCTTGAGACCAGCTCGGCTGAAAAGAAACATTAAAAATCGGTAGCACTACCCCTTAAACAATTCCCATTGAGGGATTCTAAAGGTAAAGTGCTAGAAACTCACCGTCTGGCTAGGTTCATAAAACGTTGAACATTGAAGTCTGGCCGACCAAAGTGATTTTTGTTGAAGCATAATTGCGAGTCATCAAAAGCAAATGGACTTGGAGCAAATATACGCGGGGAGGTCGACTCCCCACCACCCGATGTCATCCTTAAGGTTTACATAAATTTAACGCATGATGTAAAACAAATGTATTCGAACCCTTGAAAAACNCGGGAACGGAAAAAGGAAATCCTGAAAATGTTTCATAGCCGCGGCTAAACCTAAAGCAGATAGCAATCGCGCTCCAATGCCGTCCACGTCGAGGGGCGGTACGCAATCGCAAGGGGAGCACGGAATTTCTGCTAGATTTCCTGGGCAGCTATTTTTAGACAAATATTTATTTGTAGGTGTAGAAAGTTTTGTGTCTCGGTTCTGGCTCTATAAATTGTAGTTGAATATACAGAGGTAGGTTTGGGTATGGTATAATAGTTAGATGAGGGGCAGAAACTGGACAGCGGCGTGGGAGGTTTGCGGCAATAAGGAAACAGGTTGAGAAGCCTACACCAAGGATAAAGTAGTTGAAAAGTAATCAGTAATAAAAGAGGATAGAAATTTCTGTGACCGTCAGCGGTGGTGACTCCTCGGTTCCCCCTCGTTCTGCTTCCATGAAATGAAATTTCAAAACTATCTGGGCTATGTTACCCATGCTCCAAAGAGCCTCACCGTAGTCGCCTGCTCTATAGGGCCGAAATCTATATAAATTTAATAGTTACTTACCCGAAACGGTATTTACCTCTACCTTTTAGGATTTAACTGCGTTTCCAACTTCGCCAGCTTCTTTTTTTGCCTCGGTTGAACTAACAATCTCTTACTGACTAGTTGTTTTAGGTTGTCTTCGTTGAAAAATAGGGAAATTGCTACTGATATAAAGGTCAGCGATGGAAACCATACATTTACGTATGAGCATGTCTGAAATGGCGTTCCAACATGATGACATTATAGACGACATAGAGTTCGCCATTCGACGATTTCCGGAATGGTAAGCCTAGTTTTTCCATCCGTTTGAGTTTTTTGGCAATTCATCGACGGCAACAGCATTTTAGTTGTGAGCAGCTGGTTCCCCATGTTATTCGATTAATGCGTTCACCAATAGAATCGGTCCGAGCTGCCGCTTTTGGTTTTGCTCTCGACATAATCAGTCAAAGGCCTCAGGTACATCTTCCACCCTTTAGATTGTGGACTTATATTTATTTACTTATTTGTCTATCAAGTTTGTTTTGTTGTGAATTACCACAATTTCCAACTCTGACAAAGAATTAATCCTTGCCTTAGTATTTTTACAGATATTTTCTAGCTTTATGAGGGTTTAGAGCATTATCTTTTGGTTTATTGTAGTTGCGGACACTTAACTATGAATGAATAAGTAGTATTTCACAATATTTTGCTCAACAAGAGAGATACTCGTTACAGACGCGATGCCAACTTAAAGAAGCTTACATCAGTACAATGCAAAGTAATGATTTTGATATTACTCGACAAGCTATCACTTTCTTGCCGGATTTCGTGAACGTCTGTATAGGTGAGTGATGACAACTAGATACTATGTTAGCCACAAAATTTATATATCATCGTGCTCCATACAATTTTGGCCGTAAGGGTCATCACTGCACGATGATCTAGTAATCGTTATACCAGAATGAGAACAAAAACAGTCTGAAGGCGAAACAACTGAACTTGGGGCCTGATTGTGACGGTACCAGCGCACCTCTCGCGCAATGACTGTTGTCTCTCTTCCACCTCTTGTGTTTCGTCCTTAATTGTACTCCCGAACCTACATGCTCATCGCCTGAATTATTTTTCGGTTCAAAAGTGGAATCGATAGGCCGAAGCGAATTCTACACCTTCTGATAATTACTGATCTACCTGTTCATTGCTAAATCCAATTACTTTTCAGCTAACGCCGATGAACTCATCAGTGCGGCGATGCACTGTTGTACGAGAAGAAGCTGCCTCAATGATGTTCATGACTATGTTGTCGAGGCTATGGCTGTATTTGGCCAATCGAAGTCAAATGACGAAGATGGGCAGAATCCTGACAAAAAAGATATGAAGAGACGTTCACGTGAGGACGGTGAGATCAATTAGGGTTGTCTTTATCGATTGATACTCAATGAATCGGTTCCTAAAGATTAATCAGCCACTTTTGTTCCTCCTACTTTTGTACAATTCAAATTACGGGTTCAGGTGAAGTGGTTGTGGGACTTCAAAGTAATTATAGACACTTCATCCTTAGACTGAAGCTCAGAGTTCTTATTTGATGTCTTGACTACTTCATATATGATAATACTGCTCTCATCCCATCTTCTTTCGTTGCTATGTATATTGCTTCTTTTTTTCTGCAAATAAAGCTCACTAAACGATTCTTTCCTTACAGGCGCAGCTCGAAATGACTCATTCATTGGTGGCAATTCACGAATGGGCTTCTAGAAAACTTCTGTTACACCCCGAGAGGAAAACTTTAAGGAAGCAGTTTTCTAATTGTCGTAGATGTTTGCAAAATTTTATCCCTTTACACTTCAGTTTTTAAGTCGGGGGTAGGTGAATGGGAACTTTATTATGGTTCGAGTCCAGCCTGGGGAGCAGTTTTAAGCCTGCAATCAACATTTTTTTGGTAGAAATAATGTTCTGTGATGTTGAAGATCAAAAATAGATCCGAACTTGTGTTCATCACAACTTGAAAGGTTATAGGTTGGTAATATTCATCACATTTATTTCTCGCAATACCAACGTCGTTGTAGAATATGATGAACGAAAGTAACGGTTAAGTCGGCCCTGATTTAGGTGAACCTTGCTCTTTATTCCCTTGATCTGGACTCTGAAAAACGGCTTCATTTTGTTTATAACCCTTGATTGACCTCTTCCACTGGTACCATTTCCGCCTTACCCTGAACTCTATAATTACTGCTAACCACTTACCGAACTACCTTCTACTGGTGCACCAGCGGTAGGCGATGGTGGTTTGACGGAAGGAACGCCCATTTGTGTTTTATCCTCTTCAACCGGTTTTTGCTTTCCTTTGAAGCCCTAAAAGGGATGTGTGACTTCGACGCTAATCGAAGGATGGATAGACATATTGCACAGCAAATATGAAGGTCGATCTGCTGTGCAACAGCGATTTCTCACTGGCGGACTCAGCTTTAATGCCCACCAATAGGGAAGCTGCAGTACGTTAGCTATGCCCTCATGTGTTTAGCACGCCTACCTAGGGGTATTCATTGTTTTTGGTCAACTCACTGTGAACGGCTTGATGGTTTCCTTGTCTGCTTTCGCAGCGGCTGCATTAGGATCACTAGCAATTATTGGGCAAGGCCTAGCCTTTGGTGCCAAATTTGCCGGAATTTGCATCTTAAGCTGTTGAAATGAGATCTGAAAGAGAATTCAATTAACTAGGCCTAAGTTGGAAAGATAGAGCTTCAATAGGGCTAGTAATTTCTTGAGAACCAGACGCTTTCTCGGTGTATTTCCTCCGCAAAGCGCCAGAAACAACAAAACCGCGAACCTGTTGGTCATTTCGCTGCTCGAATTATTGCTCAGAGCGGAAGAATAAGGAGTTGGATGAGTAGCAGGGACATTTTAGACCCTCGGGGCAGCATGTATCTCTACCATACCTCTAGATCCTCGTCTAAGCATACGATCGCTGCTGCATTTGTAAACTGTCCGCAATAATTTGGAGCTGAAAACACGGTAATTAACCGTCGTCCAGCCATCATTTCGTAGCCATCTTGAACGACCTAAAACCGTGGTCTCTCATGCATAGTACACTAGTCTGTAGGTAGTATCTAGCCACCAACTGTTTAGCTCACCTGATGAGCTCGGATGATTAGTTCGATGCCGAGCATTTGGCAGGCCTGTTGCACTACTCCTTTCCCGAACATATAGCTGATTCCTGGAAGTATTTCGGTTTCACAGGGAAACTACACCGTAGATATGGACTGCTCGTATCATACTGGTAATGGGTAATGACCTCTGGGCAATACGCATGCCTCATAAGACTGGTAGTGTGTTCCTCACATAACGTACCTCTGATCGAGTGAAACCATCCATCTCCTTTATTCGTGGGATCAGCCCAGGTGAGGTCGATGAGTAAGCCACGATCGAGTGGCTCGCATGGACGTGGAATATTTCGGATTACATCAAGATGACTGAGTTCCGGCGAAAGGCCACCATGCATACATAGGACCTACAAACGTACTGGGACTGCTTAAAAAACTCAATGGAAGGTACTGAAGTACGCTGCTTGTGTTGCATTTCGTAGGTGTATGGACCAGGAGTTCCAGCCCTTTTGTACGAATATACCTGCTATCCCTCTACCTTAGCCTGGTAACTGTTTATCAAGATTTCTTGATCTTTACAAGGGGCAATACCTGACATGAAGGATAAAGTCTCTCCATGTTAGTCTATCCCGTGTAAGAGAATGCGCCCTGCATTTGACTTCCATCTAGAATTGTGGGGGAACGGTCAAGTCGTGCGTCCGAGGGTGCGCGCGGCAAACTGCGCGGCGAAGTTCATACCTATTCTGACGACTTTAGCGCCTATAATTTGGGCCCAATTTTGAAGTACAGTAGAATAGTAGAATCAGCTGACCTTACTTTTCTACCCTACTTTAGATTTGGGCCCAATGATAAATGCCGCAGTCGTCCAAATTCACCACGAACTTCGCCACACAATTTGCCGCGCGCCTCTCGGACGCACGACTTGACACACACCCAGAATCGTGATGGTTTCTTAAATGTGTATGTAGACCTTACACAGTACATCTGTGGATGTACAAGCGAGTGCTTTTATACTCCTACAAGACACTGGTACCAATTAACCAACTTCGAAAGGAAGGTTTTGTTGACCAGGCGGGTGTCGATCTGGGATTTGAACTCGTGACCACACCTGTGCGACAGTGCGCCCCTTGGCGCTACACCACCTCCGCACCAAACCCCACTTGCTTTCTTTGATTCTCCTCAAAGTGGAAATTGTTGTGAAGATTTGCCAAGAAAAGATACCTTTTTCGAAATGAGTCCAGCCAGAGGTATTCGGTTGAAGCATGCTTGGAAATCCCACCAAATACCAGCGCCGTACTTCATAACACATTCGTTGTAGAACCCGTAAATTTTATTGACAGCCGGAGTTTCATGGTTGCCTCGTAGTAGATAAATCCGATCTCGATAGCGAAGTTTCAGGGAAAACAAAAGGATGACCACCTGAAATTTTATTTTTGGAACACTCTCGTGTAGAATCCTTTGCTGACGTGTTGCGTTTCATTTCACACTGCGCCGTGCGCGTGCGGTCGCGTAACGGCTACCACAAAATCAATCGATATTCGCTTTTGCATATTGCGCACACTGTTGTAACACTTTGAATGAAGGCAAAAGACTAGGGCGTTCTTATTGACCACATTTCACTCCTAGCAGTAACACTAACCTCGACACCTTGCGGACCACGATCTACATAATCTCCAAGAAATAAAAATCTTTCCTGAGGAACGCGACCGATAAGGTCAAATAAACGATTCATGTCCTAAATAATCAAATCACATGAATTTAATGAAAATCTCAGTTCTTTTCATACTATTTCTTCAACAGTAACCACAAAACATAAGCGCGCGGTCACAACGCGGCGTCCTTGACCAGTGACTGCGCTGTTCTGCAACTCCAGTATGGTGCGCGCGACGCGTCGGCGCGCGTCTCAGACTGTGCATACACAAATTAAATGAAACTATCACCACTGACGTTCAGGACCATACCTGATATTGAGCATGGATATCGCCAATGACTTTTATCGGTACTTCACATTCACACAAATTACTTTCTTCCATGAAAACATTTGCGGCCTACAATTTAGAAAGCTCTCTTCCATCAAACAATTTCAAGTTTAACAACTTATTGTATCAGCTTGTGCGGAAAGTCTGCCGGAAATTAGTAAAATTCCATAGAAAACAATCACATATTTCAATGGGTTGACCAAACCAGCTGGAAGCTTCCACACAGCTTCCCCGGGAAAAATGAGGGCTATCGCGAAATTTCGGTAGATTCTTTCCGCGCAATCTAATGTATGTTCGTGTGAGTGAAGGGTGCTTCAGAATTATTACAACACAGTTCGGTTTTCGAGGAGGTCGGCGAGAACGACTAAATAAGAGGAAAACGTTTGATAATATCATAGTCCAGCGAGGAGGTCGACCGTCCCTGCGATGACAGTACTTGTTGCCGTCTCTATTGGACGACTTTGACCCTGTGTACCGGAAGGTCTTCTTGGAACGTCTTCTTGAACGTCTTTTTCTTCTTTTCATAGCTTTTTGGCTTGAAGACGTCATTACCTTCACGAAATGTGGGCGTACTCCTTGCTGATCTTGTACGCTCCAGCCTCCGAAAACGTTGAGACAACTATCCTGTCTTTTTAAGAGTTATAAGCCGCCTTGACACCGAACAGCTCCTATTGTAAAGGCGGCCAAGTGCGTTCTATCGTGCGCGTCTTGGCAAGAAGAACCAGTACCTTCTTCACCCGTGCTACCTAATTCTTCCACGAAGGTACTGCGGCTTTCCTTAGGCGATGAGGTGTTGCTTCCATGCGACCTTTGGCGACCCTGCCATGCTGTTTTCCGGAATTCTGAGCTCTTTGGTCATCTTACTCACGTCATCCTTCAGATTACGACGAAACCTTTTTTTGGCGACAGCGACAAGCCCTGGAGTCGTGTCATTCTCCACAGCTCCTCTCTCGGACTGTTTTCCATGCCGACATTCCGTGCGATGGCGGCCATACTTGTCCCTTTACTGTGGAGAGCGATGAGCTAGCAGCATGATCTTCACCTTTTCCATTAGACTTGAATAGCCAACTTGATGTAACCAGAAGAGCGTGCTGATTCAGAACATGTGGGTTGAATCACGACTAATCTTCTCGACAAATTTTGCTTATAATCAAACTGTTGTTGCATAATTCTGACGCATTCTATGAATACGATGATGCCATGCATCTGACTCACTTGATTTATAATGGTTACGACTTCTTGGAAGCTTAAAACGTGTACTATACAAATATCCAACCTATTGTAAAGGGCTGAAAAGAATTGTACTCATTGTGATGCTTTTTTCTATGCCGATATCTGAGATGTATGTACTCTCATTTCCAAATGTAGTACAATGGGACGTGGCTCAGTTGAACCGAAATTGTCGCTTCGCGCTGACCGCCGCTGAGCGATTTCGCGCGCGAAGGAATGTACAGAATGAAGTAGCGAGCAAAATATACAAGAGTAAAGGAGGTAACAGTAGAATCGTGTCAGAAATAATATTCGCATATCGATCGAAATGTATGAAGTACGCTAGCACTGCAACGACGAGGCAACTGGTCCGCGACTGCCGCGCGCGGCAAATCGATCACAGAAAACCGATTCAACTGCCCGTCTCCCTGATACGATGCCATTGGAAGGTCCCATCAACAATGCTGATTTGGACGCCCATACGATTCCCTAATGGGAGACTGTATCAATTTAATGAGCTGAAGTATCGAAGTGCCTGATAGGGATAAGAGATAAAATGTTATCTCAGCAATTATCACATGATTCACTACGATCCTCTCTGAGGGTTGAGGAAGGACCGGTCGTTCTCTTTTTTGACCAAAATATGCCTATCATATGTATCAGTATCCGAATCCTTCGTGGGCGTTGGCTCTCAGTACTGCCATGCTTGCAGTAGAAGTACTGATTTCCCGTGTGGGATCTACACACACAGGCATGAGGCAGCAAACNCCACACAGGCATGAAGCAGCAGACTACCTCCAGAGCGGTCTCCCCGGCCAGCAATCTAAATCTTAGGAGTAAGGGTTTTTTTCGGGTATAGAGAAAACCTTGCTTCAAATCTCGGATGAGCTCTGAGGGGGTTACTGAACTGATGTGGTGATGTGTTAACTCTCGAGGTTAACACATCATCGACATAGCACCACGGCAGTTCCCAACTGAGACGCCTCAGACTAAGGCCTAGGCTAGATCTCCGACTTTTTTTTGCCACTCGACCAGGTAAACGCAGTTTGCTCAACTGGATTGGTATCAATGGTGTCACTTCCATCATGACCTCAAAGATGGCTTTGTATTGGATCCAGACTAGCAGAGCTGGCCTTTAGACTACTCGTGATCAGCCATACATCACATGCGGGACCTGTAACTTTCGCCAAGCATAAACGGGACTCACAGTTCAGCCGATTTATGATGTCATCCAACTGCTCATTGGTCAGAGCTTGACTAACCGCCATGTCGATAAACGGGGTGAGTTTGTAGAAGTAGACAAATAGAATGAGAGTACCCCCGGGTAGCGGGTCTTTTTATATTGGGATACTATCAAAATTATACGTTCCCAACCCTACTGCTGTTTCATTCCCAACCGTTTCCTCCCTTCCAGCGCTGAGAGCAACCTTACCGGGAACAAAAATGTTGCCTCCTCTGTTCATCTCTTCAATTTAGTGCTGTATAAGGTTTTGAATCGTTCTAACGAAGAGCAAATCGTTGAAATTCGGGGAGCGACTTAGAACTGAAGAAGGTATCCCAACGAAGGTTTTTTATCAAAGTCTACTGGTAACGGCAGTACACGTAAATCCCCAATAGGCTACAGTTCCGCTGCAAAAAACGGCCATCAAAACAATATTCATCGGTTGAAACCCCCGATTTGCCACGCCCACTCTGCGGCAACCCCGCCCCATACGCAGAGTAGCGAGCTTGCGCGATGTGCGGTGTGTAATTATTGTCCCGATACATTTACAGCTCGACAATTCTTAGCTAGATGCTTCGCTGGGTGCCATTATCCACAACACGTGATTGTCCTAACTAGTTGTCTCGCAGCGCAGTCTGGGACCGCAACCCATCAGCTAATAGTGCGCATCGCTGTCGCAAGCCATTCGAACGAATGAAACACCTGTCATCTCGTCCACGTGAACCAAGAAAGTCATTTCTATTCTATCTATCTTCTTTCTTATCTAATCTCTTCGAAATAATCTGTAAAATTTCGATGGGTAAGATTCATTCGTATGCACTCCCTATGCACGTTGCTTTTTCTTTTCATCGTCGACATTCATCCTTCCAACACACAAGTCGATGAGGTTATCGATAAATCACTCATATTCAATGATGACCTGGTGGAACGATTTCAAGGGTAGTTACCCTTCTTCATCTCACTTCCATGAACGTTCAGTAGCTGCTGTGGCTAGACTCAATTTCAATAGTTCAAGAGCTTTCTTCTGATGCCTGGCGTTTCAGCGACTTTGAACAGATGGAAATGGAACAAAGAAAAACCATTCTTCACAAAATCGGAGTGCTGGCAGTTTACTTCCGGATCTTCAAGAAGTTGGTCCCATTAGCTGGCGATGAAACAGGGTTAGTGATGTTTTCTGCCTGGGATTAACAACCGGAGGCAGTTTCTCTCTCAAAAGAGGATCCTTTCTATCATAACTATTTCCTGACTCCGAATATTCGGAGAGATTATATTGGAGAAGCTGGGGTGAAGCGCTGACTCACACATTTATCGGTTTAATAGGAGCAAGAATGAGGTTACAACATCCTTATTTGCACAAATTTGTTTCTCACTCATATCCGTATAAAAAGTAGCCGTAAGTAACTGCTCACCTTCTACGGTCCATCCACTTTTCTTGTCTATATTGGGATTGCTTTAAGTTCCGCTTTCGATCACTTTGAAGAAGGGCGAACTGAAAAAAACAAATAAATAAATGAATAAATAAATAAGTAAATAAACAAATAAGCTACAATCAAAGTTAGCAAGCTGAACAAGGCATAAAAACTAAAAGCTAGTCGTCCGCATGACAGCGGCGCCAGTGAAGCTGCCCAAATAAGCTGGAATGTTAACCTGTCAGTCAGGCAGGAGAACACTCAGGCTCAGACGGACCACCTCTCTAAAGATTTCTTTTGACTTCTCGGATTACTGTAAGGATTGAGCCTGCATTGAAATTCCGTAGGGAATGTGCACTTTAAGACAATTTTTCAGGTACCTCTATCGTTTCCCAGAGCCCATACCTAGACTGGATCAAAAACTGACCACCACATGCGAATCTAGTTTGTGGGTTCGTATTCAATATCATTCGGCTATTCTTGCTGTAAAATTTTACAAGTAACCATCAGGCCGGGGTGTCCGCGGCATGTGATATGTAGCATTAGGTCCGATTTTCTGCCGTTCTAGCCAAACTAAGTTACGGAGAATGGACCAGACCACACAATTTAGTGCATGGGCTAGCCTTTCCAATTCTCCATGGAAAAGTGAAAATAAGAGAATGTTCTGTCTGTAGTCAACTTTTTTTTGAACCAGACTCGAAACTTATCAGAGGACCTTATTAGAGTACGGGTACATTCAGGATTGTATCTCAGAAATGTTATCCACCATACAGTTGTCGCATACATGGCTTTATCCGACTAAGAAACAAGGAAAGCGAGAAACACAACTGAAGTAAGCTCCTCAATTTGGCTAGCACTTTTCCACCTAGATCTTCAAAAAAAAATTACCTAATTTAAATTGAAAAATACTCAAAATCGTTAACATCTGTGAAAGTGATGGCTTTCGAAGCGGAACCGAACTCACGCAGAGCTTCTGAGTTGTCGTTCCCTTGAGATCCTTTAAGATTCCTTCAACGCTGACGCCCAGGCCGTCCGTTGGACGAAAACACTCTGATTAGATTATCGGCTGGTCTTGTAGTTCATAGCAGAGCATACTCTATGTTCTCACGTGGTGGACAAAAGGGCAGGATGGGATGAACCGAAGTTTCCTACTCATCTTCTTGTTCGATATAGGATAAAAAGATGAAGTCTTGGGACCTTAATCGATCCCGTCTGGGGATGCGCCCACGCATTCGACTTCAATTCAGGATCGTAGTGGCGTATTGAATGCGTAGGTCGCCTATACAATGACGTCCCGTGGCCAGCCGATGTCAAGTCAAGTTTTTTATCCTTCCAGACGAATTTGGTACAAATTAACAGACTGCTCGGAGGGGTGTAAGGCTTGTTTCACCTAGGCGGATATCAATCCAGGATTCGAACTAGTGACCGTACGTTTGAGATAGCACGCCACTTGCCACTAAACTATCCCCGCAGCTTCATATTGAATGCTAATTTTTAGTTTTTTCACCTTCAGCGAACATATTATCAAATTTCAGCTCTGCAATGTTGAAAGGCGTTATAAGCGATAATTTACTGTCAATGGAAATCACAGCCACACAGGTAGAGTAGCTGTTCTCAAACGTCCGCAACGGATGACAATTAAGCGTGCGCACTTGGAAAGGTAGATGCGGAAATTCAAGTGAGACAGAGATCGTCAAAGTGCACCATCAGCGACCGCGCGCTCGATTGGCACATTTTGCAGACATGGGCCATCTTCAACGTCAGATTCAGGAGCTCAAATTACCATCATCTTTCCATAATGAAACCTTTCTTCAACAGATCCTATGTTTCTTCACTTTGAGAAGAATAACAGCATTCGAGCACATACCGTTTTGCCGTTTCCGACTTCAAGATAACACAACGAGCAAGACTAAGGTAAGAGCTGGTCAACATAGCCTTTTAGACTGAAGCTTCCATCTCGCTCGCTATCTCTACCGAGTTCCCATAAGACCCCACATCGATGGATGTGGTGTCGGATTCCACTTTCAGAAAAAGTCGACTCTTTCGATGATATGGCCTGGACATCTTCTACAGAAAAATCCGTCCATGATTGATGAGTATCTTGGCGCCGAGTATGAATGCGCTTATGAGAGGTTTGTTTGAGATGTTTAAGGTGCTAACAAAACAACAAAAGCACACCTCAAGTAGTGACATCTAGTACGACAGCAGTGGTTCCTCCTTCTAAGCTCCCACGAACACTGGGTCCATTCGGGAAGGGCGCCTTTGTGGGTGCGAAGGCTCCTGTAGTTCAGCGCTCACCTCTACTGAATTTCTATTTGCCATGATAACATTATATCCCGGATGATTCTGCGTTTGAGGCCCAGTTCTAGCTTGAAATCAAGAAAGTGTGGGCATTAAGCAATAGCCTGCACCAAATGCTGCATTGAGGCCGCTCTCAACTGTGAATGGTTGGAGAGACCAAACAGCCAATCACAACCGTGGATTCGGCAGAAACTGTGGCTATGCCTGGGCCTTGCTTCTTCGTCCCAATCTTCCTAGCTGAAAGCCTCACTATAGGAAGATTTCCGATACTGACCGCTTCTTGCTTTCCAGCTTTTGCCCAGATCCATGTTGTCATGGCGTACATTCGTCGTCAGAGTTATTTTCTTCGAGGCAGTGTGCTCTCAATAAATGTGTGCGCAGGGATCGATGCGGCATTGAGGTATCCTTGTGTTACCGTATACGTAAGTAAACCGAAAATGGGTCGACATCAACTACCCTAAGGTTGAGGGGCTCTGGAAGGACTTGGAACCATTCTTGCCCTTTGTATAGATTGTTATCCCCAACAATGCCACTTTTTGGTTCCTCCATAGTCACAGGTTCATTTCGTAGAGTGAACAGACTCACTTATCTCCGCGAATGGTCCTCAGAAATTAGTTTGCATAGTTTTACCTTGAAAGGTACACAACTTCTTCGAATTACAAGTTTGAGGAAGTGTTCTGACGAGGAATGTTCGGGTTTTCCCATTGCAATGGAATGATGAACTCACCGATACTTCATTCATATAGAAAGCCTGTCCCTCAAAAAGAAAGCTGCCGTGCACCAGTCCGGTCAGGCCCGTCCCTTTTTGACCTTACCCATTCAGCCACCCTCAAGTAGAAAGTGCATAGCTTTGCTCGATGAGCAGCAGCAGATGCGGCGGAGCAGCCTAAGAAATCACAGAACGGTTATTTTGAGTTTTGAAGTGCAAAACGTGTGAGATCTGGATTGAATTCCAGGTAACCTGTGTTCAGGCGGAGTTCAACGACGATTTCGCAGCGATGAGAAAGAATCGATGGAATATTACATGTCCTTGTGGTCGTGGCCTAATGTACAGAGCCGACGTTGAGACCTGTGTTCATGCAGATCTTTGCAGTGATGAAAGCAGATGTCCTCGTGAGTCAG